TGATTTCCATCTAATATTTCTCAGTATGTGAATTAAATGATCACAAGATACCTAGATTGAAAAGTCATGATTATCATATTATGTTGCAACATCTACTCCCTCTTGCACTTCGTGGTTTGTTGTCTAAAGAAGTGTGTGAGCCGCTGCTTGAATTACTTATATTTATAATTTTCTTGAATCAAAAGAGTTGAGAATTGAAATCTTGGAACCTATTTAAGAAAAAATACCCAAAACATTTTGCAAATTAGAAAAAGTCTCACCTCCTTCTTTTTTTGATTTCATGGTGAACTTACCTGTTTATTTAGCTACTGAAGCTTAAATTTGTGGACCCAATCATTATCAGTGGATGAATCTTATTGAACTATGGCTGCATAAATTTTTTGTAAAAACATTTTGCACTGTTGCAACATTGCAGCCAGTTGCTCGTTTTTTATGCTCTGTTTTTGTACTTCTTCACTGTTCAGAAATTACAGCCACCTGCTCATTGTCCATGTTACTGTATTCCTTATTGGAGGATTTTAACATGTAGAGAATACAGTTGCTAAATTTCACTTGAAAACTGTCTAATTTCTATTTTTTGTTGCTTTTAAATATCAAAAACAACACCGACAATAGTAAAAAGAAGAATGGTATTTAAGATTTCATACTAAATATGACCTTGCCTAGGCTATTATTCGTCATGAACTCATAGACTAGGAATTTTTCTACTCCATTAATGTAGTATCCCAACAACTTGGTTAGGTTACGATGTTGTAAATTTGCTATTAATTTGACTTCATTCTCGAACTCTGTATATCCTTGGGTGAAGTCACGTCTTGCTTCTTCCCTGTTATTTCTACTCCCCATTCTCTAATACACCCTACATATATTATATATCATTCGGGTATTAATTTTTTCATCTTAGTTATTGTAAATAAGCATTTTCATGCTTATTGAAAAGAAGTAATAACCTTATAAACATTGCCAAAGCCATCTTGCCCTATCTTATTAGTAGTTCACCTTTTTTTATAAGATAGGGCATGATGGATTTGACAATGTTTATAAGGTTATTATTTTTTTTAAACAAGTATGAAAATGCATATTTACAGTAACTCAGACACAATAATTAATAGCAAAATGATACATAAGATTTGTAGAGTGTACTAGACAATATAGTAGAAATAGCAGTGAAGAAGAAAGACATGACTTCACGCCAAAAATTTACTAAGTTCAACAATGAAGTCAAGTTAATAGCAAAGCGACTACATCGTTACCTAATCAATATATTGGGTTATTGATTTAATGGAGCGGAAACTTTCTGGTATATGAGCACATGTTGAATAAAAGCCTAGACAAGGTAATATTTGGTATGAAATCTTAAATAACAATCTTCCTGTTTACTATGGTTTGCGTTATTTGATATCGAAAAGACAAAAGTTTGGGAGTATTCGACTGATATTAACTATTTTTTGTTCATGTCTAGATCCTACAAGGAGGAGTGTACTAATATTGCCAATAAATATTAGAGTTGGAAACAAATGGTAAACTATTTAATGAAGCTTGAAGACTGATGGAACACGTCGAAGTTACTGGTCCATCGAACCAGGCCGACGAGTTAGTGTTAGAATCATACTAGGACTAGACTACAAAACCCTATTTTATGTACGACTAAGCTACTAAACATTATTGGAGTCGAGTAGGTTAGGGTATTTGACTTGTAATAAAATACTACCCATGTAAATATTTGTGTTGTAGTAGGATTCCTACAATAACTAGAATATAACTCTGGTCCTATATAACTTCGGTCCAAAAATCTACCCTTGTGTGTTCATAGGGTACAACAACTTACACAAAGGATATATAGGCTATGATCCCTATACAATGAGGGTTTACATATCAATACATGTTGGGTTTGATGAAAAACACATTACCCTGTGTGTCTCTAAAGCAATCTCAAACTAATATTGATGTCTCACCTCACCTTGCTACTTTTGTTTAATCTTTCTCTAAACTTCTAACACATGATAATTTTGATTCAAGGAAGTACATGTTTCTAGACCACACATTAATAGTGATAATGTTTCTACACCTTATGTACTCATTGATGATGAGAAGTATTATTAACCTCTCAGGAGCAGGATCAGATGCTAAGGAACAAGTTGAAGCTGGTGACCCATATAGTAGTGTTGAAACTCCAATTGAAGATTTTGAATCTGTCAGGAACAGTGAGGAACGAGTTTCTCTTCCAATTAAAACCAATGATCATTATCAAAGAACAACTTTAGGTTATGTACCAATTCACCATCAACGTGATAATGCTACACTCCAGTCAACTACAATTGTTGATGTACCCGTTGAGGTACTTCCTGAACCACAAGGGCATCATATGATCACCAGGCACAAGGAGAAGGAACATTACCTGTCACTTGTTGCTCGCAATAGCACAAAACTTGTGGGAGAAACAAATACTACTAAGGAAGCACTAAAATCACCTCAATGGCTTGAAGCAATGCACGAAGATATTAATGCTTTACATACTAACAAAATATCGATTTTGGTGCCCGAATCTCCTGCTATAAACTTGGTTGGGTCAAATGAGTTTTTAAGACAAAATTAAAAATTTTGATGGGACAATAGATAGATACAAGGCCAGACTTATGGCTAGGGGATTCTTGGAATTTGAATTGACAGATTTTGAAGAAACATTTAGTCTTGTAGTTAATGCTACGATTGTTAGGGTGGTTCTACCCATTGTTGTCAGTTCAAATTGGGAAGTTAGAAAATTAGATGTCAAAAAATGTCTTTCTTCATGGTTTCTTACAAGAGGAGGTGTACATGAGTTAATCTCTTGGTTTTATTGATCACAGTATCCTCGGCATGTATGTCTACTTAAAAAGGCATAGTATGGTCTTAAACATGCACCAAGATCCTGGTTTGATATGTTTCGTATGCATCTCTTACACCTTGGTTTAATTTGTAATAAGGCTTACCCTTCCTTATTTACTTTGCAAACTCACAAAGGCAAAATATTTTCTTGTTATATGTAGATAATATTATTGTCAAAGGAAGTAATCCACCTCATGTCTCAGAGTTGGTTCTAGAACTTGGGAAGGAGTTTGGTATGAAAGATCTTGGCCAATTACATTACTTCCTAAGAATTGAGGTGAAGTATTTCGAAGGTTGAATTAACTTAGATCAAAGAAAGTATGTTCTTGAGTTGTAGTCCAAGATAGAGATGACTTTGGCAAATGTTGTAGCCACTTCTTTTGGTAAAAACATGGTTTGGATGAAGTTGTGGGAAGTCATGTAGATGCATTCTTTTACAGATTGATAGTAGTGAGACTTCAATACTTGATCCTCACAAGACATGATATCACTCATGATGTGAATTTAGCAGGCTAGTTTATACAAAGACCAAACATTCAACATCTTCAAGGGGTAAAAAGGATTCTCAGGTACATCAAAGGTACTATACACCTTAGACTCAGAATTATTTCACAATCACCATATAGGTTGTATGGCTACTCTGATGCTAATTTGGGAGGTTGTACAACAACTAGGAGATCAACTACAGGCTATAGCATCAACCTAGGTGCAAATTGTATTTCTTCGACCTTTAAGAAACAGAAACAGTAGGCCGATCTAGTGCTGAAACAGAGCATAGAGAGCTAGCCTCCACTGCTGCATAAATGACTTTGATTTTGTATCTTCTTTATGACCTTGGAATGTTCTTTTGATCTGTTCCTACGTTGTATTGTGATACCATAAGTGTCTTGTACAGGATAATTAATCTAGTTATGTATGCTAGAACAAAACATGTTTATATGGATTGTCATTTTGTTCATGAGAAAGTGGCCAGGGGATGACTTCTTACTCAGTTTGTGAAGTGTAAGGATCAAAAGCTGATATTAATACCAAAGCCTTAATACAATAGGTTTTCTCTTATTTTGTAGCTAGTTAGGAGTTACAGTTCCTCTACTCACTAGCTTGAGGGGAAGTGCTGAAGGAAACTTGACGACTGATGGAACACGTCGAAGCAACAGATCCATCAAAGCAGGCTTATGAGTTAGAGTTAATTCATATTAGGACTAGACAACTAAATCCTAAGTAATGTACGATTAAGTGACTGAATATTATTGGAGTCGACTAGGATAAGTTATTTGACTTGTAATAAAATACTAGCGATGTAATTATTTCTGTTGTATTAGGATTCCTAGTATAACTACAATAGGACTCTTCTCCTATATAAGGAGCTTGTAACTGAACATTTTAGTTGTCAATAAATCTTTGATTTTTCCATGCTTTCGTTAGATTTCTACTAAACTGAGCAATTGGCTGCAATTTTTCAGCACTGCAGAAAGTTTAAAACAGAGTGCACAAAATATTGAGCAGCTGGCTGCAATGTTGCAGTAGGGCCAAACAGCACTTTCAATAAGAAAACTCTTAATACAAAAATTACTCCCGACTATTGAAAATATGGTAGCAAATAAAATGTTGTCTTCTAAGTTGTTGTCAAACCGAAATAGACTGCAACTATTATTGAGTGACATGTCAATGCAGACAAAAATATGCAAGCCAAGACAACAGGGCGATTGAATGTGATATATATATATATATATATATATATATATATATATATATATATATATAGATACATACATATATATAAAGCGTCAATTGTAAGCAATAAGAAGTCGGCGACTCTAACGAAAAAGAAGAGAACAAGATTAATTTTCGATCCTTCTTAAAGTTTACTTCTGTGACTGGGAATATTTCTTTTTCACATCAAAAGACCCATTTTTTGTTATTTAATTATACATTCATTACGTTATTATGTTTCAACAAAATAAATTAAAAAGTCAGATATATTGTTATTTACCCTGTCAATTTAAAAGATTGAGGTCATTTAGTTGAGGAAGACGATGTTGTAGGTGGGACATATGATTGTTGAGCAGTGAAGAATTCTTTCATTTTCATTATTTTTTTCATTGCCTCTTCTATCGTAGCAAGCGATCCTTTAAGCAGTTGTTTTCTTTGTTCAAGGATTTGATATCCTCTGGAGTTGAACGTAGTACATTCAATAATTCAGATTCTGATGAAGTTCCACCTTTTAAATCTTTTGCCTTTACTCCACCCCCAAATCCAAATACATGGCTAGGAGTTTAAGGTCCACAAAAATTTTCAACAAGCTCTACCGAAGATGGAGATGTATCTTTATGACATTTACATCAAAGCCAAACATGTCAAATAACACAAACCTAGCAAAGATCTTTAAGCTCAAAAACATCAAAACACAATAGATTTTCAAAAAATACAATACATTTGAAAAAAGATCTTACTTGTTTCAACTTCTTGGGTGTATTTCTTTACTTTATTAGTAGATGTAGGAGATGAAGTACTAATTTTAACTATCTCTTTCTCAAAAGTCATTAAGTTCTTATGCGTCATTCGTATTCCTTGACTAGTGGACACGGTAGAGTTTTTAAGTCCTTGTTCCTGTTCAATCCCTATAGAACCTGAAAAAAACAAATCATATTTTATACGTTGACTAATGTATCACAAGACAAGAAGAACCAAAAATGTCTACAAGGAGTTTCTAAAGCTAATTTTGATTCACAAGTTCTCTTTTGTGAATATTATGTATTCAGCGTCAGCTTCCTAAGCTGTTTTTTGGCCTGGTATTTACCTTCTTGTCAATATAGTTTCATACATCACATATTATGACTATATTCTGCATCAAATAGAAAGCTGGAAAAAATTATTTTCCACACCTTCTTCTCCATGATAAAACACAGAATACAGAATCCTGGGAAAAATATTTTCCTATAACACAATTAAAACTTTTGCTTATGGTCTGAAATAAAAGAATACAAAATATGTTACTTGTTTCAATTTCTTTGATGTGCTTCTCAAATAGATCACTTGATTGAGGAAATATACTCTTAGATGGTAAATTTCACTTCTCATCCAAAGATTTAAGCCCTCTTCCTTGTCCCTGATCAATAGCACTAGGCGTAATAAACATATATTCGATAGCATTCTTCATATTAGAATCAACCTCATTTTCAATCCTCAATGGTTTCATCTTGAACCTGCAAAAAGAGCCAAAAAGTTAAAATTAAACCTAAAAATGTTTAATAATGTATTAAAAGGAATTTTTTCCATCATAACATTTATGGATGAATATACTAAGTCATAAGAGATATTAATTAATCTCATAAGTTCTTTTTCTTTTCTTTTGGAAGAACTTCCAAACTCTACAATACCATCATCCATTTGTTCCACAATTTCATATGAATCATGAAATTGGATCTTCCTCACTACTTGCCAACCTTCGTTGGAAGTATCATCGACATAAAATACTTGAGATGCTTGATCCACTCAAACAAATGGATTAACACTCACAAAATCACACTCACTCTTTTTAACTTCTTTTATTTCATCATACACATCAGACTAATTACATCGAAATAAAGTTACTTTTTATCCATGACAAATTGCAACTCAATCGCATTAGCTAAATCTCCATAGTAATCAAGGTTTTCACTATCTTCATCTTTCTCACCCAATACAACAATACCACAATTTTGAGTCCTTAAGTTTTTTATCATAATCATGATGCATAGAATATGGCAAGGGCATTTTCCAATGGATATAATTTGCCTAGATTCATAACACATACAAATCTGGTGCTGATACCAAAGAAGAATGTGGTGGATAATTTTGGTGACTTAAGATTCATTAGCCTGAATACTTTTGATAATTAAATTATATCGGTTGATACATGAAAGAGTTTAATTGGTGTTACCTAGTTTGATTTCTAATAACTAGTCAGGCATGTATGACTGAAAATGTAGTTTTTGCTAAAGAAATAATAAGGGACATAAACAAGAGAAACAATTTGCATATTGTAGTGGTAAAATCAGACATGACAAAGGCATATGATAGAGTCTACTTGAAACACTTTATCCAGGTCTTGAGAAGATTTAGATTCTCTAAAAGAATAAATTGACATAATAGTAAGGCTAATAAGCAATAATTAGAACTGAATACTAATGAATGGAAAAGCCTTTGGCTTATTTCAATCTTCTAGAGGTTTGGAAGAGGGTGACCCCTTATCACTACGCTATTTATAATAGCAATTGAATTGTTGACTAGGATCCTAAATTGTTCATTTGAACATAGTGACTTTAAGTGTTTTGGGATGCCTATATGGAGTCCGCAAATAAACCACTTATCATATGTTGATGACACTATTCTTTTCTTGCTCAGGACAACACAAGTAAATGAGGATGTGGATGATTGTGCTAAGAATATATGAGGGTGTGTCTAGAAAAATGATATACATAGACAAAAGCATTTGTTATCGATATTATAAAGTCCTTGTAGTACCGTCGTCAAATAAAGAGGACAACAGGGGTCAGGTAAGGTAGTTATCCTTTTACATATCTAGATTTTCCTATTTTCTATGAAGGAAAAATAAAGGTCATTTTGTAGTTCTGATTGAATAGGTGGCTAACATAACGGCTATGTGGAAGAATAGATTACTATCTTATGATGGAAGGTAACTTTGTATTCACAAGAAAATGGTTAGTTACAATCCTCACATGTTATTGCAAAAACAAACAAACCAGGGCTAAGGTTTTACAATTTGTCCTATGAAGTCAACCAATAAATCTATATCCCCCACCATATCTTTTTTACACCAAAATGAAGAAGGCTAATATACATAATTCTAATCATCTGGATGTTTTTGATTTTTCCTTCAAAACACCTTGCATTTATTTCTTTCCACATGGTCCACCAAATGTAGGTTGGAATTAGTTTCCACCATTCTCCTCTAGAATTTTTTCTTCCAATTGTCTCCTAGCTCCTCAGTAGATTAAAAGTGTATATAGTTATTGGCAGCTTACTCCAAGGTTACATTAATACATGTTCCACATATTTACAGTTGTTTTGCAATGTAGGAAGAGATGGTTGTTTACCTCTACCTCCTTGTAACAAAGAAACAACGTTAAACAAATTTGTGAACCCTCTTCTCTTTAGTGCTTCGTGAGTTAGGCAAGCTCTCATGATCACCAACCCCATAAAATAGGACACCTTAAGGGGGATTTTAATTTCTACATTAGTTTCCATGGGTAAATCCTAGTGGAGGAGAAGCTGATGTTGTTGTTCTAGTATCGTAAAATTTGACAGAGAATACTCTTTTACTGTGCAACTTCCATAGAAGTTTACCTAGATTTACCGAGGCACCTGGAAAAAGTTCAAAGACGTATAACACTAGTGTTTTTGTCTACCTTCCAGTCATTTAAATATCTTCAATGAATTTCCACCCTTGTGGGCTCCATATCTAGTAACAGTCTCATTTATCTTGAGACTGAGGTCGTTGAGATTTGGGAAGGTGGTCTTTATGCTTTCATTACCTATCTACTGCTAATTCAACAAAGATCTTTGTACCCTTCCTCAAATTATAGTAAATGTTTATATTTAATTTGGACCAGAGTCTTTGAATTATTTTTGATACACTGCATCCAAAAGTACTTTCCACTTCTTCCGTTGTCCATTGGTGGTTTAGGAGTCCATATTTCTCAGTGATGAATCTCTTCCATAAGGTCATGTCTTATTTTCCAAATTTCCACGACCACTTTCTTAGTAAACAACGACTGTGGCGTTAAGTTTCTTGATGCCTAAACTTCGTTGTCTCATGTTAAGATAAAGACATCCCACTTCACTAGATTGTAGCCTTTATTTTTTTTGTTCCCATGCAACATGAAGCTCCTTATTATTTGATTTTTATTTTTGTCAATGCTCTTTGGGATGGAAAACAAACTCATCATATAGGTGGGCAGTCAATCCATGAGTGATTTTATGTGTGTCAATCGGCCTCCCAAGAATAAATATTGTCTTTTCCATACAGATATCTCTCTGATATTGTTCTCTATACATTGAGTTCCTTATTTTTAGCTCCCAATGGCATGCCTAGATAATTGGTGGGTAGGGAAGCAACATTGAAAACAAGATTCATGGCCAAAAACTGCATATTTAGGAATTCATTGACTGGCTATAGGTAGCTCCAATGCCAATTACATAGAGTCTTCAGATGCCTTCAAAAATTGTTAGAATAGCCTTGTTGTGTCTAATTTTTGACACGTCTTCTTCAAATAGTATAAGTGAGTCCATCGGCATACAGTAGGTCAAAATTTCTCATGTCATCTCCTCTACTTATATGAGCTCAAAAACCTGTCAACCAACCATTTTTAGTCATAAATAGTAAGAAAAGGAATGGTGAAAGGGGGTCACCCTGCCTAAGACCCCTCTTGATTGAGAGAAACCTACAACATCACCATTTAACATTAGGGGGAAACTCACATATAATATGCAGAATCTAATTCAATTTAGCCATTTTCAACCAAATATCGTATCTTTAAGGATCTTAAGATAGTAGATCCAGTTGACATGATCAAAAACCTTGTCACTTCACTCTTGAATCTACCAGTTCATTTGACACAAGTGATGCATCCATTATTTGTCTCCCTTTCAAAAAGGTCATTGATTCTCGTCCACCAGTTTTCCCATGATAAAATTAATTCTATGATTAAAAATTTTGAGATGAGCTTGTAAGTCCCTTCTATTAATATTATATGTCTGAGGCCTTTTAATTCTTTGGCATTTGCCTTTTTTGTAATTAAGGATATGAAGGTGGCAGTTATAAGCTTCTCAAACAATTCCTTCTAGTTGAATTTGTAGATTGTCTGCATAAAATCTACCTTTATAGTATCCCAACAAACTTCAAAAAAAAACTCAAGGTGAAACCATCAGAACTAGAAACTTTTTCCCCTATTACAACTTTTGATGATGTGCAGTACTTCTAATTCTCAGAATGGTCCTGGTAGCTATTCATTCTCTTAATTAGTGATTCTGGGACAACCTTGTAAATTAAAACTAGGCCTCCAAGGTTCTGCTTCTAAGTACCAATATTAGGAGAAATCTATTATATCTTCTTTATCACTATAGATTACCCAGTTTCTTCACCATTCACTATCAGTCTATCAATGGTGTTGAATCTGTTGTGTTTTTGCCATTCTTTGGAAGAAATTTGTGTTGTTCTCACCTTTTTTAGTCATAGTACTATTGATTTGTTTTCCATATGGATTCATCTTGTCCAACAAAATATTTTAGCTCAACTATGATTATTGCTACAATCATTATCTCTTCTTTGGTGAGGTTTCTACTTTCCTGAATTATGTCAATGACGACGAATTCTTCAAGTAAATTTTTCAGTCTCATCACATTCCATGAAATTAGGTTTACATTCATTTGTGAGTGAGATTGAGAGTTTTCCCCCTATTTCTGACCCCTTCTACTTGGTTGAGAATGGATTGCAAATTCTTCAATTCATTCTTGGTGAGTCTCTTACTTTTTAGGGTGGTGATTATCTTCTCCTATTCTTTCTTTATTAGCATCGCTTTTATTTTATCTAGCTATATGAAAATGGCTAGTGTTTCCTCTTCTAAATCTTCAAAAGCTTTTCCATAAGTATTGCTTAGTTTAAGAATGTGAGAATTCACCCAGTCTAAAGCCTCTATCTCAGCGTACTCTAGGGATGCAGGAGAATGGGTGGTAACCGATTGAAGTCGTGCACATGCTACATTTTCAAGTTGCACTTATTTGAGATGGGTTCATAAATTGTTGTACCCTTCCAATATTTCTTTGGAATGGCCATTAATCTCAGTCTCTTCACCTATATGACGGATAATTTCAAGATTCATGGTCAAGGTTCCTTTCAATGTCACTTTAATAGATTTCTCTATATCTCGTGGATCTACAAATCAAGCTTCCAAAGTCATATATATGATTCTAGGAATTTTAAGGCCACAACTCGATTGTTCTCTAGTTAATTAAGAGTGTTAGGAGAACTCTTCATCAGAAATTGAGTTATAGTTGGGCTAAAGATTTCAGAAATAAATTTTGGGTCTGATTTAATTGGGCCTCTAGAACTAAATTTAACCCAGCCTGAAGGATTTAAATTTTCTGCGGAAGTTGTCCTATGTAAACTCAGCATTAGCATGTGTTATCATTGTCAAGTGTGACTCAAATTGGCATGTGTTGTCACTATCCCATGCTCAGCATTGGCATGTGCTATCATTGTTGAGTGTGTAGGTGGTAGACTGCCAATATTTGTCTCTACAGGGTAAAAATTCAATGACTATAAGGTAGTGGCCTTTGATAGTTGTCATAGATGAAGCTCATTCAAGATATGCATAAAGAAGGTAATTCCACCAATTTCTATGGAGATCTCCTTCAGCACCTTACTCCCGATTCATTGGATTTTGATTCTCGTCCATTTTAGTTAACTCTAGATGGACAAATCTTTATTTGTTTTAATACATCCTCCACAATGGTCTCGTATGACCTTGAAGGTTTTATGGCCCCATAGGTGAAAAAGGATCCCCACGATCCTAATCTAAGTGGAACTTGGTTTTTATGTTGAGTTGGAAGTACCCGACAATGGGTTCCACCATTGAAGCTGTAGTTCTATTTTGTGCAATAAACAATTTCTTGAAATTATTTTCTGTATCATAATACTAGAGTCAAACACGAAAAGAAAGAGGCCCCTTTCGGTTTTGTATATGTTGAGGCCGTGCACCTATTTCCATAGGTTGGTTGCCCATATCTGTATTTGTGACAATGTAGGTGAGAGATTTGACCCATCTTCGATAGTACCAACCAAACTCTTGCTTAACACTTCATTTTTTATGAGAGACCATTAATGTAGATGACATTCCCCCTCTTTAGTGCTTGAATGTTCGTTAAATTAGTTTCTTTCTTCTTGAACCATTTACTATTTTTAAGTACTTCAGCAAAACAAAAGTTTGTTGTCGGTTAAACTGTGGTTGTCTCTGCTGGTCTCCTTCTTTTGTTTGGCATAAAATTCCTCATTTTCTCAGCAATTAAGGTCCAACCAGAGTTGAAAATCAGTTCAAGCATGATAAGGGCTGACCTTCTCCTGCCCCTTACTTTAATAAGTCTGATGTATCTGTCAAAATTATTGAAGTTCCTAGCAAAGAATATTTCTGACAGTGTTTCCTTCTTATTAAACCTTTTGACTACATTCCCATTCGTCTAAGAAGCTTCAAAGAGATTCTAGATAATTCAATGCATTATCTTCCTAGCAAAAGATGTTCTAGTGATAGAGTCCTCCCTCTCAGTGGGGGAGGAGAAGGGGGGAAGAAAAGAGGAGAGAGGGAATCTGGTGATCAGAAGGATCATCGGGAGAGGGTTAGAGAGTTATTTAGAATGAATGTAGCGTCTTTTTGGGATTCCTGTCTTGGAGCAAGAAGAGTTTTTAATCCCAATATAATTCAAGTTAAACATCTTTTAATGTTTAATCAACATCGCAAACTATGAGGACGAAGTAGGAGATAAGAAATGAATATGTTTATATTTGGACAAAGTGGGTTCCTTTTAAAGTGATTTTTTTCCTATGGAGGTTGTGGAAAAGGAGAATTTCTACCGATGATAATTTTTAAAAGGTGAAGAATCATCTAGTTTCAATATGTTGGCGTTGCGATGAAAAAAGTGAGTAAACACTAACCCATATTTTTCTAAAAACCTCCTTGGATAAAAATCTATGGAGAAAAATTTGCTAATTTCGCAGATATACACATAAAAGGAACGCATTTACAACAATTAATCATTACATGGTGGAAATTCGAATCATCACCACAACTACAATGAGTAATGAGAGCAAGGACAACAATAAATATGTTGACAATATGGAAGAGAAGAAATAGTATAAAGCATGGACGAAACACAACTTTTGGAGGGACAGTGTTCAAGTTCCAGAAATGGTTTGGAAATTGGTGAAAACTCTATATCCTTGGACACATTTGGAGTCAAGCTTGTGACATGAAATTGTCAAAAAACTAAAGTGGCACAAGCCTAAATTGCATTATCATAGTGTAATATGGAAACCTTTAAAGACAAATAGATTTGAATGCAACATTGAGGGAGAATCCAAAGGGAACCCAGGGCTGTGTGTATAGGTCTTTTGTCAAAGGAACTCGCAAAGAAATCTGATCAAGGCTAGCGATGCAGAAATTGGAAATAGCACATAGATATAGTATGTGGAAATCTATGAAGCATTGGAGTATTGTTGGGAGAACAGGGTGATGGAACTAACCATCAAAATAGACTCACTAAGTCTGATGAAAATGATAAGAGGGCAATGGAAAATACTTTAGGAGCTGGTGGAAAGAACAGATAATATAAGGATGAGAGCACAACAACTCAATGCAAACATCACTCATATATTTAGAGAAGGTAATATTGTTACACACTTATTGTCTTATTAAGTAGTAGAAACAGAACAAAGAAAGGAGTAAAAGAGTTTTGCTGATTTACCAAGCAATATCAGGACAAATATAAATATAGAGAAAAAATAAATATCAATATTGAGAATCAGATAAAGAATAATCGATTTTCAGCAATGAACATACCAAAAGAATATCTTCGTATGAAAGGAAAGCAGCCTACTGTAGATATTGACAGATCTAAATAGAATAATATAATAATATAATATATAATCATAGTGTAAAAGGGTACAGCTAAAGACATAAATCTATATTTTACCCTAACTACCACAAAGTTACATCAAATAAACACAGACACAAGTGGATCGGACTTTACCGATGGAGCTTTAGAATGTTTCAAGGGAAAGATACAACACGAGATCTACATCTGAGAAAAAGCATAAAAGAAAGGGATATCATTCAAAGATCATGCGGGTAAAAGCGAAGAAGAAAATTAGGTAGAAAGGAAGCTAACTTACCAGGTAAAAATGAAGACCACTCGAGCTCAAAAATGATTCAAAAGAGGAGGCAGAACAACTAGAATTTTCTTCGACAATGCAGTGGAGAAACTTGATGAAAGAGTATTGTGTACTCACCAAGGATGAGTAGAGATTGGACAAAATTAGGTATTCTTTATTTTCGTTATTATTGGGCCATGGGCCATTTTATATGTATGGACCACAATTTATTCAATAAACGGCTCCAAGCAAAAAATTTATTTAAAAAAACTTGTATTATAGCGCTAGAAGTACTCATATATAAACAACACCACATCAAACCTTTGGAGTTTGGCCACACTCAAAGACGTTATCTTCAAAATTAAATTATAGTTATACATGAAGAGTCACGAATAAGAAGTTGATGCCACAACAAAAAACTTATTCCTTTCAAAAAAAAAATCTATACAGTTCTTCAATTGGTAGTACCTAATTTCTTAGAGTAGTTAATTCCTAAATAATATTTTTATTACTTTCATAGATTATATAGGAGTCGATAGCCAAAATGCAAAAAACAAAAAATTGTCAAAAACTTCAAAAGGACACATCAATTTTTTAATAAAAAAATCAATGCGGAAAAATCGCTTTGATGAAATAATTTTCCTCTGGAACAATACTGAAGTCGTTAGTCCATTAAAATTAACACTCATTTCTCTAGCAACAATTGTATCAAAAAATTGTTTTTCTTTTTTTCCCTTATATCGTTGTAGGGGCAACATTTTTCTCAAAAAATAAAAGCTATAGTTATAATATAAAAATATTTTTTTCTAAAAAATACTTCCCAAGTAGCGACTTCAATAGTAAAAAAAACCTATTTTACTATAATTTTTTTATATTAAAAGAAAATCAATGCCTTCGCAGTAATTTTATTAAAAAATTTAAATAAATCGCTGACAAGGCAGAAAAGAATTCTCTCTTTTCCCAAAGAAATACGCTTTCTTACTTATGTATATTGGAATTGGTTAATTGATCAGTTGATTAATTCATTTAGTTAGTAAAGATAATTAAATTCATTTTAATTTGGTTAAATAGTTTGTTAGATTTTCATATAGTTAATTAAAGTTGTCAGATCAGTTGGATCTAGAAGTTGTACATATATAAATGTAATGTAGCTTATGTACGAGTAATTGTGATGATAAAGTTTCAATTTTCATATAAATCTCCCTAGTAAAATCTACATGGTATCATATCTCTAAACTGTTAATCAGTTTAATACAATAATCGATGAGCCAGAGAGATAGGAGATGTTAAAGGTTCCACCATTGATGCATCACAAACTTTACACCCTCCAACCCGATCCAAACTCAGTTCCCAACAATTATCCAACATCACCTTACAACTTTAAAAAAACGATCCATGCGTCTTCATCTTCTTCTCTAGATACCCTACAAATCAAAGACCCCCAAATCATGATCCAGTTCAAAACCCAGCAATCACGAGCACGGTCAAAAAAAATCCGACCCAGCAATTTCGTTTTCCCTTCCTCCTCTCACAATTCTTCATAGTGTCGGAATTTGGTGCGTGTAGTCACTTAACATTTATTAAATATAAATTTATAAAGTTGTTCTGATTATATTAAATTAATGAATATATTATTCCACATAAATATTATGGATTAAGATAATTGATTTAATCATTTAAATTCAAATACATATGAATTTAATTAAAGCCTACTCCATAAAGCCCATATGATATTTCACTTATATATGATTGGCCGAAGGGAGTCCTTTTCCAACCGCAACACCTCTATTCTAATACTATAAATAGGGGTCTCAAAATTCTGAAAAAAGAGATAAAAAAATTTCTAAACAAGAAGATAGAGAAAATCCATAGCACAAACGCCATTTAATTCTCTACAAAGCAGCAAGTTTAAGAATTCAAGCATTCAAGTTCAAGAACAATCAAGATCAAGGCCATCAAATTCAAGAACAAGCTCGAAGCCATTGAATTAAAAAAAAAAGTTAAGATCAAGATAATGTTCAAGTTCAAGTTCATTAGAGATTCAAGAACAAGCTTTAAAACCCTTTAATTTATATTTGAAATGGTGAATTCAGAGGAATCATAGAGATTTTAATACTCACATTTGAAATAATAAAATTGATTGTTGCTATAACCTTCCGTTCTTGATTATTTTTTTCTCGACACGAATTTTATTGTCTACAAATTTTGCACGCCTAGTGGGACAATCTCTACATCTTTTTCAACTCTTCAAGAATCAAAGAATAATAAAATGTCTTTCACTAATGAAGAACAACTAGCAATTTCAACTAAAGCAATTGAAGACCTAACAAAGTGCGCACACGAACAAGATGCTAAATTTTCAAACCTAACAAATAAGATGGATAAAATGATTGAAAGAAGATCAAGTCAATCACCTTTGAAGCTTTCTAAAATTCAACACAAAGAAGTGTCTTGCTTAAAGCAAAATTCATATCTCAGATGAAGGTTTGATTCCAATTGATTAGTTAAAGAACTTTATCATAGAGATAATCGAAGACAAATCTGAGTCTTCATCCAAATTTTATCCCCTATATGTAAATCCATATACACAAAGGGTTGATACCTTGAAAATGTTTGAGGGTTATCAACCTCCCAAGTTTCAACAATTTGATAGCAGAGCAACTCCTAAACAACATATATATCTCACTTTATCGAGACTTGCAATGCTTCAGGGACGTATGATAATTATCTTGTTAAAGAGTTTGTTCGATCTCACAGAGAAAATGCATTTGATTGGTACATAGATCTTGAACCGAATTCTATAGATAGTTGGGGGCGATTAGAGAAATATTTCCTTAGTCATTTTTGTAGCACAAGACGTGTCATTAGTATGATGGAACATACAAAGGCTCATCAAGGTGAAGATGAGTTAGTCGTTGACTTTATCAATCATCGGAGAAGTCTGAGCCTCAACTACAAAGATCGCCTTAGTGAAGTTTCTACCAATGAATTGGGGTCTTCACTATATTTTTCAAGGATTAAAGACCAATACATTTCAAGAGTTGGCAACCCATTCACATCACATGGAATTAAGTATGTACTTAAGAGAAGATCAACAATCTCCTATCTATAGACCTCATGAAGATGAAGATATAGAAGAAATCCAAAGTGGGGGCGAGTCTGCATCCAAAGATGACAATCTCCTTAACGCATGAGCATAAACTTTAAGTTACAATGCTCCTTAATGCAGGAGCTTAAACTGCAAGTTACAATGCTCCTTGAAACACGAGCTTAAACTATATATCACTTAAATCTTCAAGTAAGAGTTAAATCTTCAATTTTAAATGCACCTTGAAACATGATCTTACACTCTATGTCACTTAAATCTTCAAGTTGAAATGATCCTTGAAACACGAGCTTCAATTGTATGTCACTTAAATCTTCAAGTTGAAATGCTCCTTGAAAAACGAGCTTAAATTTCAAGTTAAATTTAAATATTCAAGTTAAAGTTAAATCTTCAAGTTAAAGTTAAATCTTCAAGTTGAAATGCTCCTTGAAACACGAGCTTAAACTGTGCGTCACTTAAATCTTTAAGTTTGAGTCAAATCTTAAAGTGGAATGCTTATTGAAACATGATCTGAAACTGTATTTCACTTAAATCTTCAAGTTTGAGTTAAATATTCAACTTGAAATACTCCTAGAAACACGAGCTTAAACTTTATGTCACTTACATCTTCAAGTTAGGGTTAAATCTTCAAGTTGAAATGCTCCTAGAAACAAGAGCTTCAATTGTGTGTCACATAATTTTCAAGTTTGAGTTACATTTTCATGTTGAAATGCTCCTTCAAACACGAATTTAAAATATATGTCCCTTAAATCTTCATGTTTGAGTAAAATCTTGAAGTTGAAATGCTCCTTGAGACACTAGTCTAAACTGTATATCATAAATCTCTTTCAATTTAAGCTAAATCTTAAATTTAAAATGTTCCTCAAGGTACGAGCCTAAATTTCATGTCACTCATGGCCCACAAGAGTATAAACTATGTACGACACAACATAAAAGTCACTCACTCCTCCAGAACTACATTGCGACTTGATCTTCTTTATTTAGGTACCTAGGCACTTAGAATATGCACTTAGAACCATATTCTAAGTTCATTTGCATCAGTGTCAAAAAATCAAATGTTTCCGCTTGATCTGTTACATGAGTTAAAGCTATGAGTAAGCTTTCATAAAACCCGAGACTTTCACCAAATGGTGGTGACTCAATGGGGGCAAACCCTTATCAATAAAATTGCTTCAAGATGAAGTTTATAAATCTCCAAGTATGAAAGTAGAAGTCTTCAAATTCTTCAATCCTAGTCTTTGAAATATAAAATATCTCGAAAAGACTTGAAGAAGGAGGAATTTGTAGTCTTGCTCCACCCCGAGTTCGAACCTAGGTGGAGGCAATGATTTAATGTGATTTTTTTAATTGGTGAATTAATTTAATAAATAAATACATTAATGGTTGATTTAAAAAGGAAACATCATATTTTATTATTAATTATTATTAATCAATTAATTAATGTGTTTTTATGACTAAGTCTCCTAGTTGACGAACTCAAAACAACTTTACCTCCTTTAACTCTCTCTTACACTCATCTCTCTCAAATTTTCTTGACTCTTTTCATGATTTCTCTTTGCCTAAACGATTACAAGAACAGAAAAATTACTAGAGTTCTTCACACTTGAAGAACTCACACTAAAATATAAGAAAACAAGCTAGTGAACATGTTAGTTAAAGAGGGGTTTTTCCATTGAAAGTTTTGTGTTGAAAACTTGGATTGTACTTTAGTTTTGGAGAGGATTTGGAGAAGCAACTTCAAGGTTTGAACGTCAAAATAAGATATGGGTTTTCTTCTTTCTTTGTCCCTTTCCCAAAAGACCCCCTTAAGGTTCATATTATTTATTCGAAAACTAGGATTGTTTCCCGTATTGCATGCCCTTGTCACTAGCTCCCAATGAATCGTAGGTTGGGTATGATTGCTAGTAGATTTAGGTGTATGCTATGTTTTCGTGATTAATATGATTACGTTGTGTAGTTGAAATCGTATGATAGAGAACCATGTATCCGAAAGTTTGTGTAAGTGTATGCACGTGCAAAAATGTTATTGTGAATGTAATGTTAATTAGGCTGAGTTAAGGCTTCAAGTTTAATATTGTTTTGGTTGTCATTTTACGTACATTAATCTATGTAAATGGTGATGTTCGTTAAAATGGAAATCAGGATTCAAACCTGTGACCTCACCCGTTTGGTACCTTAAATTCTCAATAAAAGAAAAGGGGTCAGGGGGATTCGAAATGGGGTGTACTGGCTGAGAAAGAAGAGAACAAAAATTTTAATAAATGAAATCGAACCCACGACCACAAGGCAAGAAAGGATAATGGGCAACATAAATAAAAAAATAAA